AAGATTGACAGCCAGGATATGTAAAGAAATTTTACTAAACAATAAAGACAAAAATTCACTAGAAAAATTGGGGAAAGATATGAGCAACAAATGCATAGAAGAAGAAATTCAAATAAATAAATAAATACACACACACACACACATACACACACACACATATATATATACACCTCATATATATGTTTAACCTGACTAATAACCCATCAGTTCCACTTCCAAGAATTCCACCTGGAGAGCCTCACCTGTGTACTCAAGAAACTTTATATAGTTGCAGATTTAAATTAAATATTAGGAATTTTATATGATTTAACCTAATACAAGGATGTATATGGTAAAAAAAAAAGTATTATTTAAACACAGGAAATGTTCATAGATGAGAAATTATTAAATTGAATTTGGTCATATGCTTAAATATTATACAGCAGTTAAGATGAATAAGGAATGTATACTTGAAAAACTGGAAAAAAGAAGTAATGCTAAGTGAAAAAAGCAGAGATTTTCTTTTTTTCTCAACTTTATTGAGATATAATTGACATATAACATTGTGTAAGTTTAAGGTGTACAAACTGTTGATTTAATACACTGATGTATTGCAAAATGATCACCCTGGTAGCAGTAGTCTTAACTAACACCTGCATTACATCACATGATTACCATTTGAGAACATGTAAGATGTATTCTCTTAGCAACTTTTGAGTGTATAATATGATATTATTGACTCTAACCACTAAATAAATATGTCTGAAGCAACTATTATAAAGTGTTAACATTTCAAAAACCGAGTAGAGGTTTTTGTGACATTTGCTATGTTATTTATACTATATTATATTTTTATTATAAAATATATCAAATATATATCTGGTGGGCCACTTTCTGGCAGGACCCAATTTCAGGAGTGAGTTTTTTTTCCCTATGAACTAAAAGTTAAAAAAAAATTAAAATGTTTGAAAGCCACACTGCTTCCTCCCATCTGGAAAAAGGAAAAATAAAATTTTGATTCTCAAGACAAAGCAATAGAATTCATATTCTTATAGTTTAGATTCCTTAGTTTGTTGAATAGAATAAGTGTTTTTAAAAATATGCACATATCTGGGCCTATTTGAAAAGTAATCAAGGCAGTTTTCATCTTTAAATCTGATGTGGTTTTGAGAGCTATGTCTGGATACTGGGCCAACACGTGGGGCCTGAGGGTGGAGGGTTCCCTGGGAACTTGTTGGGCACCAAGTTACTGCCTAGATGTTAAGGTTCCTTTCAGTTTTTCATCTTCTGTCTTCAGGAGACTCTCATACCTACAGGGAAAGAAGTGGTTTAAAGACTGCTGAAAGAATAGCCTAGGAGTTGATAATGAGGCATAGAAAAAAAAGAAGATGAAATTTTAATTTTTTGCATTTCAAATAACTTATCACAAAAGCATTTTAATTGTTTAAGTAAAACTATCATAATTTGGGTAGCGACCACAAGACCTATGACTTAAGACAAAGCTCATATGAAAACATCTAAAAGCATAATGAGATCATATTTAACTTGCATATCATTAGGGCCAGAAAGAACAGGATACCTTTTGGAATGGAAGGAAATGACAACCTGCTTCAGTATTCTTGTCTGGAGAATCCCACGGACAGAGTAGCCTAGTGGGCTACAGTCCATGTGGTTGCAAAGAGTTGGACACGACTAAGCAACTAACAGACACACAAAGTATAATTTAGGATTTTATATTTTCAGTCCTTGAATTGACAAAGGATCTCTCAATAGGATGAGAATACGGTATCCACTACAGTTATACATAGCGGGTCAGAGAGGGTTTTAACTTCCTGTGACTGTACTGAGTAATGTGTGTCTTGACCCCAAGCCCCCATCAATGGCTGCAGAAACGTTTGCTGTGTTAATTGCAGCCCTTCTGCCTTTGCACAGAGGCAGTATGGGATGCTGTTTATCTGACCTGTAATAGTTCTTTTTGAACCCTGTAGCCATGTAAGTAACTGTATTTGCTTAAATTCATTCATCATTCAAGTCCAAAAATTACATATAGCTGTCAAGCATTATCTAAGTGACTTGGTTGGTATGTATGAACTGACTTTGATTCTCTGTGTAACTGCTTAGCTGTCAGTTTTATTTAGGCATAGGAACCTTATAGTATGAATATGGAATAAATTGTAAATAAGATTAAAAAGAACAGCTTGAGATGGAACAGTGTATCCTCAGGGGCCAAAATTCAAGACAACATAATGTTTTTGTGATACAAAGTAGAACACTTCTAGTATGATAATGATAAATAAAACAGATATCTTCAAAGTTCCCACATACATTATAATTTTTAAAAATGTTTTAAGACTGAGGCCTTTTGGAGATTCTGGGTTGTCTCCAAGGGAGATTGAAAATAAAAGAATTCTCTTAATTTGGGATCAAATTTTGCCAGAAATTTTGCTGTAAATCATCCTGGATTGGATGAAAAAGGGTAGGGGCTGAGAGGTGGGTGGTGGGTTATGTAAATGAATCTGTGCTGTAGACCGAACTCCTCTTTCCATATCTCATTCCTTCTCATTCAGACATGGTACAAAGAAGACTAGAATGTGTTGAATCCAATCTACAGCCAGTGGTTAAGAGCATTTAGCTTTAGAGGCAAACATATCTGTGTTGATTCCCTGATTCTTCCAGTTACTAGCTGTGTGACCTAGTCAAAATTGCTTACCTGCTCTGTGCCTCATTTCCCTCACTTGTGAATTGGAGACAATCACAACTACCTCACAAGATTGTGCAGATTCATTGAGCATGAGTGCCTAAGGGGTTGTGTGTGCTCAATAAAGAGAAATCATCTTCCCTTTGACTGTGACTATTCTCTTGTATGATCCATTGCTGCACCTTTCATGAAGCACTTTCATCATGTCACACACCTGATTGCAACCCCTAAGTAACTCCCTAGTATTCACAGGATAAAAGTAAAATTTCTTAATCTAGAAAATGCAGTCGTGCCTGGAGTCCTGCTTTGGAATCTCTACTATTTATCTATTGTGTAAAAGATTACCACAAAAGATTATCTATTGAGTAAACGATTACCAGATTAAAACAACACACATTTATTATCTCACAGTTCCTGTGGGCAGGAATCCTGGCATAGTTTAGCTGGATCTGCTTCTGAGTCTTACAAGATTACAATCAAGGTCCTGGCTAGGGCTGTGGTCTCATCTACGACTCGACTGGAGATGAATCACTGCCAAGCTAATGTGGTTAGTGATAGCGTTCAGATCCTTGTATGTTCCTTAGGATGCCAGTCAGAGGCTATCTTGAATTCCTCACCATGTGGCCCTAGTCATGGGATAGCTCACAACATGGCATCTTGCTGCATCAGTATTAACAAGGGAGATTCTTCTAGCAAGATAAAAATGATAGCCTTGGAAATTCCCTGGCTGTCCAGTGGTTAAGGCTCTGTGCAGGAGGGAACGAGTTTGATTTCTGGTTAGGGAACTAAGATCCCACAAGCTGTGTGGCTAAAAACAAACAAACAAACAAAGAAAACAATCTTATCTAACATAAACATGTATATCCTTCACTTCTGCTGTATTCTCCTTGTTAGAAGTGAGTCATAGGTCCTGCTCACACTCAAGGGAAGGGGAACACACGAGGGTGCACCACCAGGAAGTAGGGGTCATGGGAGCCGTCTTAGAGTCTGCCCATCTCAGGATCCAGGATTCAGATACTGGCAATTTGTTGCCAGCTCTACTGTTTATTTTTCTTAGCCCCTTTCTTCACATACAAAAAACAGAAATAGAATAATTTTCTATATCTTTTCTTAAGAAAATCAAATGAGGTAAATTATTTTGCAAAGTACTCTACAGCGATCTATTTTCTGCCTATTTTAAGATCTGCCTTAAGTTCCGCCTCCTTCAGGAGTCCTTGCCAAATCCGGTCCTTATAACAGGAACTGCTTGGCCCCACTTATAGTTTATATGGAATCATAGGCTTTTATGTTTTTATGTTTCAGTAATGAAACATTCATGATTATCTTATCTGTTTGATAAAACAATAAGCAGCTAAGGACAAGGACTCTTTTTTTCTATAAGTGGTTAAGTAGCTACCTTTTTTTAGTGCTTAGGATGTATCAGGGACTCTGAGAGGCATTTTATTATTTGTTAAATTTTCTTGTCCTTTCAATAACTCTTTGAAGTAAGTTCTACTATTACTCTCATTTTATGGATAAGGTAACATGACTCAGGCTAAGTAATTTGCTCAAGGTAACACAGCTAGTTAGAGGTGTCTGACACGAGGAATGGACTTCTTACGGGCCTCATATGCTACCTCTTTTATATAGTCTAGAGAAGTACAGTGTAGAAAGTGGTTGCTCGTTTTAGCCTTTGGTAAATGGAAGTGAGCTTGTACACTGAGAGAAGACTGCATTGGATACATATGGAGAAGTCAAGATGGGGGGTGAGTGAACCCTGGTATCACTACCTGCTTCTTGGTTTCTCTGGTGGGTAGATAATCACCATGGCTACCAAGTGGCCATGTTCAGGGCAGTCTTGAACTGGGGATCAAAATTCAAGATCAGAATCTCTGGTAAGTCACAGTACTATGAAGTTTCCTGCAAACTGGTTATTTCTCATGGTTCTCATCACCATGAGAAGCTGTATTCTCAGGAAATCCGCTCTGAGCTCTGCTGGGCTCTCCCTTTAGAGTGTTCATCATTGAATACTTGAGTGACTCACCCACATCACAGTGCTAAGGCCGTACATTCCAGGACTCCACAACATAAATCATCTGTGAGAATTCACTTCCAGTTCTGGGGACAGGACCCTTGGGAAAATGAAGCAAAAGGCCAGAAAGAGAGAGTGACCAAGAGTGGCTTGGTCATGCTTAACCTAAACCTTGACCTTCAGCAAAGTAGAGAATTAAATAACTCAGGAAATATTAGATGTTCCACCAGATGTTCTTTGGACTTGTATCTTCTGTCTATTTGAACAGTCCCACTCTAACTTCAACCTCATTCTTTGTTGTTGTCATTTCAGAATGAAGCCAGGGCCAAATGGTCTGCCTTTTATGAAGAACAGTCCAGGATGGCCAAAACTTACTCACTCGAAGAAATTCAGAATCTCACACTCAAGCGTCAGTTGAAGGCCCTTCAGCAGAGTGGGACCTCAGTGCTCTCTGCAGAGAAGAGCAAGCGAGTATGTAACATGCTAGCACTGATCCCAAGAATGGAAATACTGGAGAAATCTTAAACATTAGTATCACTCAGGGCTGCTTACTTTATCTGCAAACCTAGCAATGCTTACAATAGAAAGAGCGCTGTGCCTCGGTGGGGTGGTCACGTAATTTATCCTCCAAATTGGGATCCTTTGAGAGTGAAGGGGGACACTGGTATGTTAGGACACATTGTTAAACTAGGATTGTCAGGGCTCTGTGGTCTATATATACAGTGACAGAGGTCGCCTTCCTCAGGACCAAGCACTTAGTCCGTGTCTGTGCTTCTCAAATGCGAGTGATTTTGCCCACCAGGGCCATCTGACTATGTCTGGAGATATTTTTGGTTGTCACAACTGTTGAAGGGTGTTATTGGCCTCTAGTGAGGAGGGATGTTGCTAAACATTGCACAGCACAAGGAAGCCCCCAGTGACAGTTGTCTGGTCTAAAATATCAGCAAGGTCTAAGCTTGAGAAGCCCGATATGTCATCTCATCCTCCACCCCTTTCATTCTTGACTGTCTTCTGCAACTTCTTTAACATGTGGCTAAAACACCCCAGCTCAGACCACTTTAGGGATAGTTGAGTCACTTCTTTCTAAAAACATCATTTCCATATGTGGGTCCCTCTAAGTAATGGCAAGATTCTTCCTCCATTGAGCATAGAGCGATTTACCTCCACTTTCTACCTCCTTCTGGAGCCAATGGCTGTCTCCTGTAATAGTCTTCAAATGAAGGAAGGCAGATTTTTTTTTTAATTATTTGAGGCTTTTTCCTCTAGCCTAAAACATCCCATCTGTTGACTTTTCCTTATACGATGGTTTCAAGTTCCCTAACCAGTCCTGGCTGCTGGCTTCATTTTGTCAGTATCCTTGGACTGAATGCAGCCCTCCAAGTGGGTTCATGTCTGCATGAAAGGGAAGAGGGGTATGACATCCTGTTCTTCCAAGACACAGCTCTAATGTGCCCCCTCTTTGAAGCCATTCCTGAATTTCCAAGTTACTAAATTCAACCACTTCCCCCCATACTGCCACATCACTGTTTGGTGACAGTTGTAGCACCTGTCACTCTGTTATGTGATCATTGATTTCATGACTCACTGTAGCATGTTTGTGGGGTTCTTAAAGACCAGTGACTTGTTCACGTCATAATTATCAGAGTGTGGGACATAGTAGATGTTCAGTAAATGTACACTCAGGGAAGCCTGAAATGGAACAAGAAATGCATTACTCTGTGTATGTGTAGGCAAGAAACATTCTTGGGATTTTGGTAGATGTGGTTTTTTTCCCAGTCACTACACATGTATTTATCATATGCTTATAACGGCAGTCTGTGCTAGTTGATGATGGGAAAATTTAACTGAGATATTCCAACCCTACATAAAAGAAGATACTTGGCCAAGAAGATGTGAACTTCTGTATTTTGAGGCATAAAAAATTGCATGATTGAAAGGACATCTCTACATTAGCATTCTCTTTTGTATATCTTCCATTTTTTAACATTGTTTATTATCTTTAATTTGTAGCTGAACACGATTCTAAATACAATGAGCACCATCTACAGTACTGGAAAAGTTTTGGACCCAAATACACAAGAGTGCTTAGCACTTGAACCAGGTAGGCCATTAATTTTGAGCAGTGATTACAAAATTTACATTCTTTTATTCCAAGCTTTAAAAATGAGATTAACACCAGATGATGATGTTGTGCCTTTAAGATGGACAATCCAAAGAGGGAAAAATTCCAAATGTGTGTGTTTTAGCACATGGATGCTCTCTTAAGTTTTAACAAAACTTCACTATAAATCCTGTCACACTCAAGTAGTTTAATTAAGTTAGTAGTTCAATGATCTCAGTGGTTTATTTTCTCTGAAGAATTATTTTGAAGCTCTTATAAGGGTGAGGACACAAAATGAATTAAAGATCTAAACGTAAGACCAGAAACTATAAAACTCCTAGAGGAAAACATAGGCAAAACACTCTCCAACATAGATCACAGCAGGATCCTCTATGACCCACCTTCCAGAGTAATGGAAATAAAAGCAAAAGGAAACAAATGGGACCTAATTAAGCTTAAAAGCTTTTGCACAATGAAGGAAACTATAAGCAAGGTGAAAAGACAGCTTTCAGAATGGGAGAAAATAATAGCAAGGGAAGCAACTGACAGAATTAATCTCAAAAATATACAAGCAACTCCTGCAGCTCAATTACAGAAAAATAAATGACCCAATCAAAAAATGGGCCAAAGAACTAAACAGACATTTCTCCAAAGAAGACATACAGATGGCTAACAAACACATGAAAAGATGCTCAACATCACTCATTATCAGAGAAATGCAAGTCAAAACCACAATGAGGTACCATTTCATGCCAGTCAGAATGGCTGCTATCCAAAAGTCTACAAACAATAAATGCTGGAGAGGGTGTGGAGAAAAGGGAACCCTCTTACACTGTTGGTGGGAATGCAAACTAGTACAGCCGCTATGGAAAACAGTGTGGAGATTCCTTAAAAAACTGGAAATAGAACTGCCATACAACCCAGCAATCCCACTGGGCATACACACTGAGGAAACCAGAATTGAAAGAGATACATGTACCCCAATGTTCATCGCAGAACTGTTTATAATAGCCAGGACATGGAAGTAACCTAGATGCCCATCAGCAGATGAATGGATGAGGAAGCTGTGGTACATATACACCATGGAATATTACTCAGCCATTAAAAAGAATTCATTTGAATCAGTTCTAATGAGGATGAAACTGGAGCCTTTTAACAGAGTGAAGTAAGCCAGAAAGAAAAACACCAATACAGTATACTAACACATATATATGGAATTTAAAAAGATGGTAACGATAACCCTGTATGCGAGACAGCAAAAGAGACACAGATATATAGAACAGTCTTTTGGACTCTGTGGGAGAGGGTGAGGGTGGGATGATTTGAGAGAATAGCATTGAAACAAATCATATGGGAAACAGATCGCCAGTCCAGGTTCGACGCATGAGACAGGGTGCTCAGGACTGGTGCACTGGGATGACCCAGAGGGATGGGATGGGGAGGGAGGTGGGAGGGGGGTTCAGGATGGGGAACACATGTAAATCCATGGCTGATTCATGTCAATGTATGGCAAAAACCACTACAATATTGTAAAGCAAATTTATAAAAAAAATAAGGGTGAGGATATGAATGAATCATGAGATTTCATTGAGCAACTTTATGACCTTGATATTTGCCAGCCTTTCAGTTCTTTACAAATGAAAATTTCTAAAATGCATGTTTATTTCCCTTTGGGTGCTTTGTGATGATAGGTTTGGATGACATAATGGAAAACAGCAGAGACTACAATCGGAGGCTCTGGGCTTGGGAAGGCTGGAGGGCTGAGGTTGGCAAGCAACTAAGGCCATTGTATGAAGAGTATGTGGTCCTGGAAAATGAGATGGCAAGAGCCAACAGTAAGTTCGCTGGGCTGTGGCAGTTCTGAAGCTCCCTACAGGGCTGTGGGGCTATTTCTTATAAATTACCAAGCCTGCCCTTTGATATAAGGGGTATCCCTAAATTAATCACCTGCTGAGCAATTCAGGTTACATGTCTCCAAGAGGAGACCACTAGGGAATAAGGAAAGGTGAATTGACATTCTACAGTTTAAAGGGCTTGAGAGCAAGACTAAGTTATCAGGCCTCAAACAAATCAGTAGTCTGGGAAGGGCTCAGGCTCCTGAGGTTTCCTAAGGTAGTCTGTGGATGGACAAATTCTGTTTACCAGAAAGGATGAGAGACAGAGACACCATCTCTCCTTTAAACTCCCATCTGGCCACAGTTCATTCTTGAAGGTCATTTGTGTGATTACCTCAGAGTGGTGTCCCAGAAAGAAACAAATCAGAATACTTTAGGCTGGAAACTGTGGTCATCAAAATCTTAACATGGGGAGGAATTTCCATATCTCTCAAGTTATCCTCCTGCCTGTATAATGAGCTGAAGCTGTGGCATTGTGAATAAATTTATGTTTTGGCCATTTACGGCCTCCTGGGGTTGAAGAAGGGAAAACATTTTTCATCTGTTCTTTCTGTGTTCCACTGCCACTTAAGCTCATATTCTCAAGCCAGAGGCAAACTGGAGACTGGAACCCATCGTCACATCCTTCCATCCAAATATTTACTTCTCTCCTCATCTTCCTGATCATTCATTGCCAAGGAGCATGTAAAAATTAAAATTACTAAAATATATTTACAAAGTTTATTAGCTGTTATCCTCAGCCAAGTTTGTGTTTCTTGATAACGAGATGCTGCATGAAGCACAGAGATGGGCTGTGTATATTAGAATTTGCCAACAAACACAGGCCCACTGTGGCCATGTCCAAGATGGGTTGGGTTACAGTTGAAAATATAAGGCGCTAAACAAAATGAGAATTCAAAGACCCAATCACATGTTTTAAAGCTAAAGATGCCAACCTACCTATGGAGAAAGTAGAGACCTGGGGTTAGGAGACTAGGAGTCCGCCTTTCACCCTCACCAGTTGTGTGACCTTGGATGAATCCTGTAATCAGCCAAGAGCCAGCTGTTACCCAGCACCATGGGGATTGTAATACTGACCATCTTGTAGAGTTTTTGTGCTCATTAGATGAGATAATGAATTAAATTTCAGACACATTAGCTAGTGTTATTCATTTGTATCCCTTTGAGCTGCAGGCCAATAAAAATGTGACAGGTCTTTGGATTTTTTTTTAACCTCTCAGGAAGGCTAGTCTATGTATACTGTGCTTTATCTCTTCCTTTCCAGATGTTCTCATTTTTTTTCTTTTTAAAACAGATTATGAGGACTACGGGGACTATTGGAGAGGGGATTATGAGGTGACTGAGGCAGGGGACTATGACTACAGCCGTGACCAGTTGATGAAAGATGTTGAAAATACCTTTGCAGAGGTAATGAGACACAGAAGTTCACATATTATATGATTTTTCATTTATATTAAATGTGCATAATCGGCCAAATTATAGAGAAAGAAATCAGTTCAGTGATCACCTGGGGCTGGAGGTGGGAATGCAGTTGGCTGCAGATGGGTACAAGAAAACTTTGGGGAATATTGGAAATGTTCTAAAACTGAGCAGTAGTGATGGTTGTCCAATAGTATACTTTTATTAAAACTCACAAAACTGTATACTTTAAAATGGGTAAATTTTATGATATATAAATGATACTTCAATTTAAAAATGAAGGAAGTAGGTAGCATCTTAAAATGAATATATCTATTTTTTGCATCTGCCTTCCAAGTGGGGCTTCCAAAGTGGTGCTAATGGTAAAGAACCTGCCTGCCAATGCAGGAGACATAAGAGATGCGGGTTTGATCTCTGAGTGGGGAAGATCCCTCAGAGGAGGGCATGGCAACCCACTCCAGTATTCTTGCCTAGAGAATCCCATGGACAGAGGAGCCTGGCAGGCTGCAGTCCATGGGGTCGCAGAGTCAGACGCAACTGAAGCAAGTTAGCATGCACACCTTCCGTGTGGTGTTTGTAGCCCTCCAGATGTGTTCACTGTTTTATGCAGTGGAACTAGTCATCCTCTGGTAAGCATTCCATCTGGTAAGAAGGAATGCTTTCAAATTCTTCAGAATATTTCAGAAGAGAAGAAATTAGAATTTAGGGTAATTCTACTGTCTAAAGAAGCCCCTATTTTTAGTGTTGGGGATTGGAAATTGGAATAGGCTATTCTTGGTCTTAAACTCTCTTCCTGGGCTTTTCAGATTAAACCATTATATGAACAACTTCACGCTTATGTGAGGGCAAAGTTGATGGATACCTACCCTTCCTATATCAGCCCTACTGGATGCCTCCCTGCCCATTTGCTTGGTAAGAAATTTGTCTACTTTGCTCTTTGTTGTTTCCACCAATAAGGTTGTTATTTTGGGGTGAGGCCCAACTTTTGAAAAATTCTATGAATGAAATTAGTAACATTATAGAAATCATATTTTGAAAGCACTGTCTTCAACAGAAAAGTCATTTTAAATTGTCCTCTATTGCATTACTTTATACACAGAGAGTTGTTTTGTTGGCCTCAACCCACAGATAAAGGGGTTATTTAAGATCCCCAGAGGATGAGAGTAAAAATGGGGAAAATGTTTTTGTTTTGTTTTTTAAGATCCTCAGGTTTTTTTTTTCATTTATTTTTATTAGTTGGAGGCTAATTACTTTACAATATTGTAGTGGGTTTTGTCATACGTTGACGTGAATCAGCCATGGAGTTTATTTTTATTTTGTAGTTTTTTTGGCTGTTCTGGGTCTTCCTTGCTGTGTGCGGGCTTTCTCTAGTTGTGCTGCATGGGTTTCTTGTTGCAGAGCATGGGCTCAGTAGTTGGGGCACACAGGCTTAGTTGCCCTATGGCACGTGGAATCTTCCTGGACCAGGCATCAAATCTATGTCCCCTCCATTGGAAGGTGGATTTTTAACCACTGGACCTCCAGGGAGGTCTGAAATTAAATTGTATTATTCAACTTGATTGGCTGACCCTTGAGGTGAGATTTTAGCATCATGTCGTCAGAGGAAAGAAGCTTAGTTGGTTGGGAGTGGTCAGGGGTGAGAGAAAAGCTATCTAGAATTAAGATATAGCCTGAGTGAAAGCTTCGTAAGTTGATTGTTCAACTGCAACAATGTCTTTTGCCCCAAAGTACTTGGTCTGGAATCATATGGGTAACCAATGAAATCCTCCTCATGAAGAAACCTGCCTAGCTTAAGAGGAGGAACAGTCTTCAGAGAACTTTGGATCCTGCTGTAGAGCTTTAGTAGACCAGGCAAGACCTGGGGCCCTTTACTGAACTCCCTTACTCCTCGCCAGAGTGATCACCCTCCCTCCCCTCTCCCTCACCCTCAAAGCCTAGGCCAAATACAATATTGTAAAGTAATTAGCCTCCAACTAATAAAAATAAATGGAAAAAAAAATAAAATATCTGTGTTTGGAAAGTTTATGTCCTGCGTACACAGCAGGCCTACTACAGGCAAGCTAAGTTGCTAGTAGCTGATTCTCTCTAGGCAAGCCTCTTTCTTAGCAGGAGGGAATTTGGACAAAGGAGCAGTGGAGACTTCTTCCTCTAAAGCAATATATAAATACTCTCTACAGTGTCTTTGGCAGGCATTCTTTGGTAATTCATTTTCTGCTTAAACCTGTCTGGCGTGAGGTGGCTCTTGCTTCCTTCCAAAATAGACTCATCTATCACTACATTGTACCAATTATAAGAAAGTCCTATGTTATGTGGAGGTGAACCAACACCCCTCTCATGCCTTCCATTCATTCTGCCTAATTCTGTGCTCTGAGGTTACCCAGAATATGTCCACTCTTCTTCCACAAGATGGCCTTCTAGAGATTTATAAACAACCATTTTCAAGGTACAGTATAGTTCCTGGCACAAGAGTATGTACTCAGTATATTTTACTATTATTCTTGTCATCATGTATACACTATTTTCTTCTTTTATGTTAAATATCCTACACCGATTTTCAACCATTCTTTAAAAATCTCACTTTTCTGCTTGTTCTCATTTGGACAAGCAAATAAATAAAATAAAACTTTATTGATGTCCCTCTTCAAATATGCTTAGAACTGAGCAGTTACTCCAGATGAGGTTTGACCAACAAAGAATAAATATGGTGCTGTGACTTCCTTTGTTCTAGACACTGTAATTCTATTCATTTACCTTAGGGTGACATTTGCATTTTGGAAGCCACATCATACTGTTTGTTGGATCCCTTTTGGTCTTTTACATGTGAGCTGTGTTTCAGCCTGATGTCATATATCACATATTTCTATAATAGCTATTTCTTTACAGTTGAAGCATAGGACTTTGCATTTATCTCTATTTAATTTTATCTTTTAAAACATGTATTTATTGGCATATTCTTCAGGTAGTTATTTAGCTCCATTCCTTTGGTGCCAGAATTCTGGTCCTGCTGTTACATTGATTTTTTTTTTTCCAGATCCATTTTCTGTTTTAGGGTTTCTGACCTTGGAATCCAGTTGAACATTTGTTTGAGATGTTTGAAAAGTCACTCAGTTAAGTAGATTACTATAGTATAGTAATAAAAGTGGAACTTAGTTACTCGTTATTAGCAGAGTTTCCTGAATGATAATCCTATATGCCCTCTTTTCTTTTCCATTATAGTTTATTACAGGATCTTGAATATAATTTCCTGTGCTATACAGTAGGACCTTGTTGTTTATTCATTCTATATATAAAAGCTTACATCTGTTAACCCCAAACTCCTAATCCATCCTTCCCCCATTCCCTCTTCCCCTTAGCAACCACAAATCTGTCTATATGCTCTCTCTTAAATTCAGTATCATAGATTACTAACAGTTTAATTTGTAGTATTTTGTCCCATGTATGAGGGACTATATAAACCTATTTCTAATCTATAGTAGCTATGATGTCCTATATATTTAATACATTGTGCCTTTGAATTGTGATTTAAAATGAAAGAGACAGGGATGATTCCCTATAAGCTTTGCCTCACCACATCACCTCTTGCCATTTTAACCTTTTAGAGGAGACAGTAAAAGAAGGGAATGTTGAAAATATAAAATAAGAGAAGAGGAAAAGAGGTAGTGAAAAGGAAACACAGGAACTATTGAGTTGGCCAAAAAGTTCATTCATGTTTTTCTGTAACATCACTTTTTGGCCAACCCAATAAATTAAATCTAAAATACTCTATGGCCTGTTTACCAGTCCTACCTCATGTGCTATGTAAAATCATGTCTATACTTCTACTATCTTTATCACATATTAACAAATCTTTTTTTTAATAGGTGATATGTGGGGGAGATTTTGGACAAATCTGTACTCTTTGACAGTCCCCTTTAAACACAAACCAAGCATAGATGTTACTGAAAAAATGAAGAACCAGGTAAGAAGAAGACACCTTGAAAACTAAATCCTCAACCTCATTCCTTTGTATGCTACCTTTCTCTTCTTATGTTATAAAGTCATGTAAATGAGAAAAATTTCAAGCTATTTTAAGTTTATTTCTTATGTAGGTGTCTTTTCATAAAAAAGTAGTTTACAATGACAGTGACATTAAGTACCTAGAATAAGTATGGCATTGATCTTGCTGAGAGTAACTAAAAGTGGAGATGACCTGGTTTTCCATTAAGCAATAAAATGTGGAATTGTGAACTTATGATTCTTTCTAAAGTTAGTCATTGCTATGTAGTCAGTAACCTCTATGAATAGGGGGAAAAAAGGATATCTTTAGGAGATTTTTGCATATTAAAAATCATTATTGTTAAAGATACCATAAGAGTCTGCAATGGTTTGCAAAGAAACTTTTTGTTACCATCTTGGAATAATTGTTTTAATTCTCTGTGTTCCCTTCCATTGATGAAAGCATATTATAGTTGTAATTATTTTTTCTTTATCGAGCTAATACTCTACAATTCTGGGTAGAATCTATAATCATACATCTATTAGCTGTGTAAAATTTTTCCAGATCGTTGCACTGTGATTTACGTTAGTATTTATGCATTGCTTGTGAACAGTTTTAAATCTGTAAGCAACTACGCAATGAACCCCTTCACTTGCATAACATATTCCTGAGATAAGTCCATAGCAGAATGAAAACGTGAAGCTTCAAGAGCCCCCAAACTCCTGCAGCTGTTCTAGCCCCATTTTACAATTGAGTAGCAGCAAGGGCTCATTTTTATATACCTCCATAGCCTGTCTATGGTGTTTTCACACCTACCATCTCTCCTAATGTTATGTTTACAACAAATCTATGAGACTCTCAGGGCAGATATTGTGATAGTTCCATGTCATAGGTGAGGAAACTGAGGCTTGGGTAAATGATTCACCCAAAGTCACAAAGACAGTCAGTGGCAATTAAGGTTGGAACCCAGAATTTGCAGTATTTCCAGTCTGGTTTTCTACCCATTCATTCTTCATTCAACCAATATTAACTGTGCTTGCCAGTCTACACTCTTTTGGTATACGTTCATTTTTCCTTAAGAATACCTTAGTCACCAATAGCAGTATTGTCTGACGTTAAGCCTTTAAAGGTAAAAAACAATCCATTGTGTCTCTTATACCCAGTTTCATATTTTCATGGCGGACATGGGAGAAGAAATTAACTGGTTTTTAAGATCAGAGGAAATTTTCTGTGTCACTAAAAGGTGATTCATGAACTATCTGCCAGTTATACAAATTTAGTTTGACTGATGTATGGGCTTTATCTCCAAAGAAGTCTTGGTCAGCTCCAGGGACACTGGTTCCCAGAAAGATTTGCTGAATGGCAGGCACCTTCTGCTGCCCTTCTGCAGTTCCAGAATATTCTGAAAGTTTAGGTTCCAATACAGACTGTGAAGCCAAGGCCTAGCTACCCACTGGCTGCTGGGTCACATGTGGGCCTTTTTTACTTCGAAAGCATGTGACTTCATGTTTGCTTTATTGTTTGTGTCTTCCTCTGACACAAACACTAATAATCCCCAGCCTAATACTGGGGCCTTGTTCACTGAAAGAACTCAATCAAGAGTTGTTGTCTTGAGTTGAACAGTTTTTAGCAAAGAGAAGGTTGTTACTACTTGTGTTTATACCTGGAACATAAAGAATAAAGGCAGAAAAATTCATACATAGTCACAGTCTACTCCTGACATTTTAATGCACTTCTTCATTAAAATTATACTATATAAGTATTTCACATATTTTATCTTCTCACTATTATTTTAAAAAATCAATAAAAATTCTTTATAAATTCAATCTATTTAGGTTTTCCATTCCACAAAGGCATCATTATTTATTTAGCCATTCTGGAGGCTGTTTCCACTTTTCCCTCTATTAAAAATTATTTTGTAACACTTATACAATTTGTCAAATATATTTTAATTGAAAAATAGTAATAAAAATCATTTAAAATATAATTCTTTGACCTAATTTCTGAGAATTTCCTAGGTTAGTTCGCTAGAGACTGGATTACTGAGACAAAGAGTATAAACACTGTGAAAGCTGTCTGTACATGTTACCAAATTGCCTTTCAGAAAGGCTCTGCCTTTGTACATACCGAACAAAAGAATGCTGTGATTTTAATGCTACAATTAAATGCTGTTCTTTTTCTCCCCCAGTCCTGGGATGCAGAAAGGATATTCAAGGAGGCCGAGAAGTTCTTTGTGTCTATCAGCCTCCCTCACATGACTCAAGGATTCTGGGACAACTCCATGCTGACTGAGCCAGGCGATGGCCGGAAGGTGGTCTGCCACCCCACAGCGTGGGACTTGGGGAAGGGTGACTTCAGGTAGTGAGACTGACGTTCACACTGCCAGTAGTCAAACGGGAGACAATGGAGGGATGAGGATGAATTTGGATTCCTTGTCTGCTTCTCTGAGCACTGAAGAGAGGAGTGAATTTTCCTTTAATAGAGGCTGGGAGTCCATGAGACCACATCTCGGTTTCCAAGGAAAAGGGGATTGTCATCAGGCCCTCAATTGCACCTTTAGACAGTTTACCTTGTCTGAAATAATATGCACTCATGGTCATAAGTATGGTGGTGCCCCCATTAGGAAAGGCTTGGTGTGAAGATTTATGGAAGATGGAATATATGAATCAGACATTAATCCCCCCTCCCTGTTTCTTTCTTTTGAGTGAACTAAGACAAGTGGATAGAAAATCTGGTATGTATCATAGGAGAAACACAGAGAGTACTTAAATCGTCTCTTTAGGCTTTGCAGGTCTCTGCTGCAACTACTCGTGTCTGCCCTTGTGGCATGAAAGCAGCCAGAGACGATACAGAAACAAGTGGTTGGGGCTGTGTCACAGTAAAGTCTAATTTATCACAAGTGGCCAGCTGCAGGCCAGAACTTACTGACTCCAGTACTAGGGTAAGGTTGGAAAGTGAGGACGTGTATATAAGCTTCCTAGCACAGGATCTTACACATAGTAGACATTAAGTAAGTACCTATTCTTATAATTGTGTCAAAGAGAATAGAGAAAAACCAAAGTTAGAAAAAGAGGTCATATTGGGTGTATAAAGGAGATTGAGTTTGTTCCTGAGCACTGAGAGTCCTTAAAGGGTATTTATCAGGGGGATGGTGTGCTCAGAGTGGTGGGAAAATGACAACACCTACTGAAATATGACCCCTCCACTCACCTGCCTGAAACTGCTCTTGCCAAGTTGAAAAGGACTGGTATGTAATTGCCAAATGCAGTCTTTGGGCCACAGCAGCATGAGGCAGTGTTGGTTGGTTGTCTTTGACCTGTTGTTTTTCACTAGTGTCTGCATTGTCCTCCCTTCCGGACTTCTTTGACTTCTCTCTCTGTCTCCTTTTCCTCTCTCCACCCTGTACATCCCGGGGCCTCCTGGGGTTTTGTCCTTGGCCCTCTTTCCTTGCCATCCTACACTAGCTTCATGGGCCATCACATCCACTCCCCTAATTACATGCTAATGATTCCCAAGTGTCAATTTCTAGCCCCCCCCCCTTTTTTTTTGACTGCTTCTCTGTCCTAACTGTCCCCAGCTGCTGGCTGTGTCCCCATTCTTTTCTCAAGCCATCCTCATTGAACACTTCTAGGAAGGTCAGTTCTTGTCCCTTCCTGCCATCTACCTGGCAAACTGCTGTGCTTTAATCAAGGTCCAGCTTGCTCATTGCATCTTGAGTCATGCCATTCCCAGTGCTTCCAGAAGACTAGGCCTGCATTTACTCATCGTTATGGCCAAGGCCATGCCTGCTGATCACTTGTAGAGTACTTGCCTCAGAGTTTTCATAGTAGAAGACTCTGTTTGTCTTCCTTTCTATTAGTCTGTGAGTAGGAGGAAAGGATTCAGCCCTGCCCATCACTTTATGTTGAGCACCTAGAACAGTTTCTAGAACATATAAGGTAGGTCCTCAAGATTCACTGGTCAATACATCTTGGAAATGTGATCCATGCTATAGAAATCCCATATAACTCTTATGATGAATAAGCGAAATTCAGGGGGGCTCATGTTAATCTTGCCCATTTTTGTTGAGGATCAAGATGTGCACGAAGGTCACCATGGATGATTTCCTGACCGCGCATCACGAGATGGGCCACATCCAGTATGACATGGCGTATGCCGCACAGCCCTACCTGCTCAGAGACGGGGCCAACGAAGGCTTCCACGAAGCTGTTGGGGAAATCATGTCACTGTCTGCAGCGACACCTCACTATCTGAAAGCACTTGGTCTTCTGGAACCTGATTTTTATGAAGACAATGGTATGCACATTTTTCTCATGGCTTCTTTTGGGTATTCTTTAGTCTGACATGGGCAAAGGTATTTATTGCCATGCATAGGATATATTTAATTTTTGCCATATAAAATATAATGTATTTGTGGGGAACTGGGAATTGCTTCTGGTTAAAAAAAAACAGTATATAACATAACATGCCAAGTTTTGTTTTTGTGTCTTTGAGACGAGGTAACTAAGTGAATGATCTTGGGACTCTAAGAATCATTTAGCAGAAAACTTTTATTTTACTTTACTTGTTGTTGTTGTTTAGTCACTCAGTCATGTCCAACTCCTTGTGACCCCATGGACTGTAGCCTACCAGGCTCCTCTGTCCATGGAAATTTCTAGGCAAGAATACTGGAGTGTGTTGCTGTTTTCTTCTCCAGAGGATCTTCCCTACCCAGGGACGGAAACTGTGTCTTCTGCATTGGCAGGTGGATTTTTTATCACTCAGCCACCAGGGAAGCCCAGAATATTTTTTGAAAGATGCTAAAACAGACCCACAGAACTGAAATGCCTTATCCAAGGTCACCTAGCTAGTTAGTGTCAGAGTTCAGATTGAATTCCCCAGTTCTACGTAAAAACCTCAATGATGGAGCTGGAACAGATTCTAAAAATCACTTTGTAGAGGAAGCAAGCTGAAGGCATGAGAGGGAAAATAACTAGCCCAAGGTCAAAAAACAACATGGCAGAACCAGAACCAAAGACCTAATCTACAACTTTCCCCATAATTTTATGGGAATATTATGGGAGTTCTTAAGGAGCAGGTGGTAGAATACAAAGATTGGAAGAGACGGAAACATTTTTTTTTCATCTAGCTGAAGCATGAATTTGTCCCATAACATCCCCTCAGATCCAGGCCATCCTTCAGCATCTTTGTTTGAGGCAGCCTTTTTCTCTTTGGATGATCTGGACTTGATGGAACCCAACAAAACTCACGTGATCCAGATTTTTTTTTTCTGTGAGGATTCTTTCTTGTAAAAGAAGGACACTTAGAGCCAAATATGTTCTTCTTTCCCATGTTTTTCTCTCCCCTCATTTTAGCCATTTGGGACATAAACATCAGCTCTGCTGACTGGTACATTTAGTCAATGAGGTCAAGGTCGTAAGCTCCATCTTTGTGTGGGCAGTTCACTTTGCCTTGACTTCCGACTCCACACCTTGACGATCTCACAAGTACCTGGGAGTAGGTCACTGTAAAGCCTTCATCATGTCTGAAAAAGTATAAGCACAGACCCAGTGGGTAATAGACAAGTAGCAGTATCCTCCCAGGTACTGCAACAGAGGAAAGGGCTTTCACAGTAACCACACCTGTTGCCTAATTTTAAATTATCATTCTCAAGTCAATTCACAGAAAAGTGTTTTATCATTTTTTAATATTCCTTGACAGCAGGCAAGGATGATTAAATCACTGGTTTGAAAAACTCCTGCTTCTTTCCTTGGCTCTGCTCCTGATCTGTGAATTATATTTGACAAAATAAAATCCTTCATTCCTTCTTTTTCTCTTTCTTTCTCCCTCTCTTCCTTTCTTCTTCCAAAAGTGTTTACTGAGCACTTACTATGTGTAAATCATTTTTAAAGACACTAGAGATACAGTGATGTGCCAAATAGATAACGGCCCCCTGGTTACATTCCAGTGAGCTGCATTTATACAGTAGGTATCAGCTCCACTGTCCTTTGACACCACTGCTGCTGCTGCTGCTGCTAAGTTGCTTCAGTCGTTTTCTACTCTGTGCGACCCTATGGACAGCAGCCCACCAGGCTCCTCTGTCCCCAGGATCCTCTAGGCAAGAATACTAGAGTGGGCTGCCATTCCCTTCTCCATTTACACCACTAATAAAGGATAAATGAAATAACATAATTTGTTAAAGCATTTTAAACTCTCATAAGGAAGATATTTCTAAGGCCTGAGGAAGCCTTACAAATAGGTGTGAAAAGAAGAGAAGTGAAAAGCAAAGGAGAAAAGGAAAGATATTCCCATTTGAATGCAGAGTTCCAAAGAATAGCAAGGAGAGATAAGAAAGCCTTCCTCAGTGATCAGTGCAAAGAAATAGAGGAAAACAATAGAATGGGAAAGACTAGAGATCTCTTCAAGAAAATTAGAGATACCAAGTGAACATTTCATGCAAAGATGTGCACAATAAAGGACAGAAATGGTATGGACCTAACAGAAGCAGAAGATATTAAGAGGTGGCAAGAATACACAGACAAACTGTACAAAAAAGATTTTCATGACCAAGGTAATCGTGATGGTGTGATCACTCACCTAGAGCCAGACATCCTGGAATGTGAAGTCAAGTGGGCCTTAGGAAGCATCACTACGAACAAAGCTAGTGGAGGTGATGGAATTCCAGTTGAGCTAGTTCAAACCCTAAAAGATGATGCTGTGAAAGTGCTGCACTCAATATGCCAGCAAATTTGGAAAACTCAGCAGTGGCCACAGGACTGGAAAAGGTCAGTTTTCATTCCAATCCCAAAGAAAGGCAATGCCAAATGTTCAGACTACCACACAATTGCACTCATCTCACATGCTACTAAAAGTAATGCTCAAAATTCTCCAAGCCAGGCTTCAGCGATATGTGAACCAGATGTTCAAGCTGGCTTTAGAAAAGGCAGAGGAACCAGAGATCAAATTGCCAATATTTGCTGGATCATCGAAAAAGCAAGAGAGTTTCAGAAATTATCTATTTCTGCTATATTGACTATGCCAAAGCCTTTGACTGTGTGGATCACAATAAACTGTGGAAAATTCTGAAAGAGATGGGAATACCAGATCACCTGACCTGCCTCTTGATAAATCTGTATGCAGGTCAGGAAGCAACAGTTTGAACTGGACATGGAACAGCAGACTGGTTCCAAATAGGAAAAGGAGTACGTCAAGGCTGTATATTGTCACCCTGCTTATTTAACTTATATGCAAAGTACATCATGAGAAACACTTGGCTGAATGAAGCACAAGCTGGAATCAAGATTGCCGGGAGAAATCAATAACCTCAGATAAGCAGATGAGATTACCCTCATGGCAGAAAGTGAAGAAGAACTAAAGAGCCTCTTGATGAAAGTGAAAGAGGAGAGTGAAAAAGTTGGCTTAAAACTCAACATTCAGAAAACTAAGATCATGGCATCTGGTCCCATCACTTCTTGGGAAATAGATGGGGAAACAGTGCAAACAGTGTCAGACTTTATTTTTTTGGGCTTCCAAATCACTGCAGATGGTGATTGCAGCCATGAAGTTAAAAGACACTTATTCCTTGGAAGGAAAGTTATGACCAACCTAGATAGCATATTAAAAAGCAGAGACATTACTTTGCCAACAAAGGTCCATCTAGTCAAGGCTATGGTTTTTCCAGTAGTCATGTATGGATGTGAGAGTTGGACTATAAAGAAAGCTGAGTGCTAAAGAATTGATACTTCTGAACTGTGGTGTTGGAGAAGACTCTTATAGTCCCTTGGACTGCAAGGAGATCCAACCAGTCCATCCTAAAGATCAGTCCTGAGTGTTCATTGGAGGGACTGATGTTGAAGCTGAAACTCCAATATACTTTGGCCACCTGATGCGAAGAGCTAACTCATTTGAAAAGACCCTGATTTTGGGAAGGATTGAGGGCAGGAGGAGAAGGGGATGACAGAGGATGAGATGGTTGGATGGCATCATCAACTCAATGGACATGGGTTTGGGTGAACTCCGGGAGTTGGGGATGATGGACAGAGAAGCCTGGCATGCTGCAGTCCATGGTGTCGCAGAGTTGGACATGACTGATTGACTGAACTGAAGGAAGATATCAGTAAATTTAAAGTTCATGGTACTTCTGATTATCCTGGATAATCAGAGGAGGGAGGCTGTTTTTTCTTTGTTTTTTTTTTTTCTTCCCTGGTTTACTGGCTTTTGGCCACATCTGTTTAATATCCATTTATTTAGCAAAGACTCACACAGGGCATCGTGTAGCAGATACCAGTTTAGGTATACAGTCTTGAATGAGACATTGATAGTAACTGCCTTCATGGAGCTTACAAGAATAAACAGTATGACTAGGAAAGCATATGAAATAGCCCTACTTAGCTCTGACAAGAGGTAGTTAAGGAAGGCAACTGAAACTAATGCAAAAAAGAGGGTTACTCGTGGATTTATTTAATCTATTCTATCCAAGGCTTCACCCTACTTCAAATCCCTCAGCTGAGAAAATGAATAAATACATATTATTATGTCCACTGTCAATATTTCTCATGTGATCATGCTTATAGTAAGTATATCTTGAGGAATAATATCTTGAGATTAGGAAATTATTGGACACAAAATGTCTACTGTCATCCTCATCTTAATATTTATCCTTTCCCATTTTCCTTTCAGAAACAGAAATAAACTTCCTGCTCAAACAAGCACTTACAATTGTTGGAACTCTACCATTTACTTACATGTTAGAAAAGTGGAGGTGGATGGTCTTTAAGGGTGAAATTCCCAAAGAGCAGTGGATGGAAAAGTGGTGGGAGATGAAGTAAGTCAGTGAATATGCACGCAATCAGTAAAATGTTTTCTCATGGGTTTGCTGTTTATTTAAAAACATCTAATTGGCCTATATAGACACACACACACTCAAATTAACTACTTTCTTTTTATTAAGTATCCATTTGGGTGCCTTCTCAGATAACATTTCCTTGGCCTTGCCTACTCCCTCAAAAGCAGGGTCAAGTGACGAAATTTCTCATGCTCTATCTTTTTACATGTTGAGGCACCCATTAAACTCTGATATTATTTAGGAAGTAATCAATGTGTTCATTTTCATTTTTTATTTTGTCCATTCTTTGAAACAAAAATTAATAACCCCGTATTTTAGGTAGGTAAAGCACCAGGGATCCAAGGCTGATTGTTTGCACCAGGGATCTGAGGCTGATCGTTTCTGATGTTCTCTTTGACTTCCAAGAGCTTTTAGTTTATGGACGAATGTGGAAAATGAAACCACTGCAGTGTGTTGAATTGTGATGGAGGGTGTGGGGATCCGTGAGCATCCAAGGGGAGATCCAAAGCCCTGGCCAGTGAGTCAGATGAGGAGAGACATTCAAACTGAGGTTTGAGAACAATGTGGGAGTTAACCAGGTGTACGTAGAAGGGAAAGGAGAGAATTCCAAGCAAGTGGGAGCCTGCCGCATTTGGGCAATGGATGGTGATGCCTTTCAATAGTTTCAGTGCTACGTCATTCTCACTATACCCCAAGTGCTTTGCACAGGGCCTGGCTCAGACAAGTATGAAATAGTGATGAAAGTACTACTGAAGAAGATGGAAGAAAAGCGATCTCCCCACCATATTAGTCAGACTCCTGTTAATGATTTTTCTTTATTTTTCCTTTTTGGAGAGAAGATCTACAATTATAATATTTAGCCCCACATTCATAAGTTGAAGTCAGTGCCACTATTCTGCTAAGATTCTTTCTGTTGACATAAATCCTCCATGGAAGAAGGAGACAGCATCTCTAATAACTGTCTCTAGCATTTAAGTATTACCAAAATTATGTCTATCATGATCCCACATTCAGAAAGGACAAATGTATGCAAACAATGCCAAATACATGGTTTCTGCACCTTTTTATCCTGATTAAATTTTTGACCTCTTTTAGTTTATTTCCAAAGGTACATGGAATCAGGCCCTTAAAATGATTCATTGTACTCTATTCAGGTAATAAGTCCACATGAAGTCTTTTCTTAGCATTGGGGATTGTGGCTGGCCCTGGAACTATAAAGATGACCAAAACACAGCCCTGCCTGCTAGGTGCTGAAGTCTCCAGGGCAAGAAGGAGCTGTATGTGAATAATTATAAAACAGAGAGAGAAATGACAAAGGAGGCAGAGCTAGAGAAGGCCTAGGGAGCTGGAGGGCTTGCTGTGAGACAGGTGCTTGGGGTCAGGGGCAGGGCTCATAGACGAGGGGGCATTTGAGCTGGCCTTGAAGAATCAGTAAGGTTTCAATTTTAGAAAATTCTGCCTACCAGGAGCCCATAAAATGGTGCAGGAGAGGAATTTTTAGGACTTTCATTGTATGGTTTGGTCACATAATACACTTTATGAAATTGGTGTTTTGATGATACAGCTATTCTTCAATGGTATAGACTGGCTAAATTAACAAAAAACAGAGATGATTACATGATGGGGTTTTTTTTTTTCTCATGATGGGCTTTATTCTGTAATTCTTTACACTGTTTCAATTTCACCTGACAAAAAATTCCAATAGAAATGCCATTGGCTGATAGCACTGCACAATGGCACCATCTATACTTTCTCTTGATGAGCGACCCACAGCTAATATACCTTCTTTTTCCTCCGAAGGCGAGAGATAGTTGGAGTGGTGGAGCCTCTGCCTCATGATGAGACATACTGTGATCCTGCGTGTCTGTTCCATGTGGCTGAAGATTACTCGTTCATCCGGTAAGTGACAGTTTTCTTCTGTTTCACTTCTAGAATTTGTAAACAGAGTGACAACTTTAACATCTCTATCTCCATTCACCTCCCCCTTAGAACCTCAAAATAGATGATCGGTTTCAATTCTTTGTAACTGAACATGGTGTATGGAGTTCAACAAAAGTTACATGAAATCCTTTTCTCCATGAACAGGGAATTTATAGTCTCCTTGGGAGCAGTAAAAATGTTTCTATTTGTCTCCTTGTTACTGGCAGAGTTCAGGGGGATTATAATAGAGCATTTTTAACTTGAAGTCCCAAAATCTATGTTCTTCACCCATTAGCTCCAGATCTTGAATTTGCTGAGTCTCAGTTTCTTTATTTGTAAAGTAGAAATAATATTGTTGATTTGCCAGAGGGATCAATTTTGGCATAAGTGTGTGAAAAGGCTATAAATTGGTAAAACACAATACAAATGTGAGCTCACATTTAACAAGATAATTCTGCCTTTTTTTCAACTGATACATAAATGCAAGTATGATGAGTCTATAGGGTTTGTGTTTGGGTCTTTCTTGAGTGAAAAGAGGTTTAACTGATACTTCTTTGGTTACTGGGGCCTCAAAATTTAAATATATGTCCCAGTCTGTGACTTAACCACAGAAACTACACACGGGACAGCTCTTTTCTTTTCCTTTATCTCTTTTACAGGTATTACACGAGGACCATTTATCAATTCCAGTTTCATGAAGCCCTTTGTAAAACAGCTAACCATGAAGGTGCCCTGTTCAAATGTGATATCTCAAATTCCACTGAAGCTGGGCAGAGGCTGCTGTAAGAGATACTTCAAAAACATTGAACCTCTCATCCTATTTAATGTTACTCATTTCCATGCCTAGGTTTGAATTTGATTTCTTTGTTCCAAAAAAGAAAATTTGGGGACTCAAAATGTCTTCATCCATGAATTAAATGTTTGTTTTGTGATCACACATGAACCTGGATCCTGTGATGGCTACTCAGGCCACTTCCTCTCCCCATGTCGTAACTACAGAGCTCTCTTTGTAGTAACCAGGGGGAGGAGAGATTGAAAGATGAATACATCTTTTACATGCCTTCTTGTCTTATTTGCCAGGAGCAAACAGTCAAACCAAAGAGGAGTAACCATAGATTGTACATGTAAACAGAGGTACATCTGGAATCCTTCCAAAGGCACTGAACCCACCTCCCCCAGCTTTTTTTTGTTTTTTTTTGTTTTTTTTTTTTTATGTAGCCAAATGCTGAGCCTTGGAAAATCGGAACCCTGGACCTTAGCATTGGAAAGTATTGTGGGGATAAAGACTATGGATGTAAAACCCCTGCTCAACTACTTTGAGCCCTTGTTTACCTGGCTGAAAGAGCAGAATAGGAATTCATTCGTGGGTTGGAGCACGGAATGGACTCCATGTGAGTAGATGGCGTTGGCACATTTCTAATGGCCCTTTTTCTGCTTCCCTAGTCCTCTCTGGCCCTAGTCTCATGGGACTTACACAGTTGAGTGTGTTCTCCCTCTACTCATCCCCTGTACTGTGGTGGCAGATGCCATTTTCTCTGAGAGGAAACACATTTGTTGAGCACCTACTGTATATCTGACACAGTGAAAACTTCCCCCCTCTTGTTTTCAATCTGCTTTACTAGCCCCATATTTAAAATAAAAGAGTCTAACACTGTATGTGGTTAGTGTTCTAACCCACTGTATGTGAATCCTGCTCTTCAAAGAAAGGCAAATATGTTTAATAATTTTAATGCAATCCCCTCTTCTTTCTGGCAGTTACATTCATATTCTAAACAGCTTGTTTATATTGTCATTTCCCCATTGCTCAGTTTTAGACATGCACTTCTGCCTACTCTTCTGCCTCCATTTCCTATTCTCCCAATGAAATTTAACATAATTTTTAGTAAAGAAATTATCAATATTTGCGTCATTACACCTGCAGAACCAAGTAATATACTATTTTATATCTTTTTTAATGTAGCTTTTTGTTTGTCCTGAAGTTTCTATTGCCTCATTTTTTTGCATACCTAATTTGCTGTCTATGCTATATTCTTCTTCTCCAACTATTCCAACGTATCTATTCTTTTCAGTCTCATTTTTCCTAAAGAACTCCCTCTTAGAGTCCTCCTGTCTCAATCTGGACCACAGTTTTCATCCTGAGTCATCCCTTCGCTGCTGTCCTGGGTTGAATCCACTCCTTCCTGGATTCCATGTCTTCTTTCATGAATTCCCTCCTGTTTTGCTGCAGCACGGCCTCCAAGTGACTTTCTAAGCAAGAGCTCATGGGGTAGGAGCATCAGCTATTCCCCCAAGTGGCTATAACCAGACCTAGACTTTCATTTTCCTTGTTTTCAGTCCAGTATCTTCTTCCACTCCCTGCTGTACTCGAATCCCAGGCCTCTCCTGGATTCTCTGGGGGGTCTCTACTGCTTGTGTGTACACGTTATGCCACGACTTCCTGACCCTTGAGAAAGCATTTACCACTCCTCCATAACTTCTCATTTTCCAAAGGAGTGTTTATACCTTTAAAAAATTCCTTTACTATCACTTTACTGGGATCTTGGGAAAGGAAGGAAATAAACACACATGGTCAATCTGCTGTCTGTAACAACAGTCTGTTATTTCTCTTTAATCAGATTCTGACCAAAGCATCAAAGTGAGGATAAGCCTTAAATCAGCTCTTGGAAAAAATGCTGTGAGTATTCTAGATAGCGCATCTATAACTTTCAGTGCATTCCCTTTTTTAGGGCACAACAAACCCATTTCAGGGCAGTTGAAAAGATGAAACGGCACATGGTTCTCTTAAAAAGCCCTAGATTCTGGCCTCTGGCATTTGAGTTGGTTTTTTCAGTAATACATTCCTTGTTGAATTGGCTAAGCCTCTGTTTTCCTTGTGACTCTGAAGGTATTATGAAGATCAGTGAGAAAACATTTAAAGTATCAAATACCTACCCTCCCAATTCACTCTGATCACAATTACTTGTATTTTTTTAAAATATATTTATTTATTTATTTGGCTTTTCTGGGTCTTAGTTGTGATGTGTGGGATCTTTAGCTGCAGCATGCAAACTCTTAGTTGCGGCATGTGGGATCCAGTTCCTTGGCCAGAAATTGAAACCAAGCCCTCTGCTTTGGGAGCCTGGAGTCTTAGCCACTGGATCACCAGGGAAGTCCCCATTACTTGTATTTGAGGAAGAGGACATGTTTATATTTTTAGAGACTGCTATTAGAAATATTGTAGGCAGTTTGGCTTTGTTTTGTCTTAGTCAATCATCTAGGTACTAGAAGCTTGTTTTAATCTTAGACCCCAGCCTTGGACCTGCTTAATCAGAATCTGCACAGTAAAGGCTGGGAAGCAACAAGTTAGACCACTGTTTCTCAAGCCTGGCTGCACACTGGAGTCATTCACGATGTTCTTTAAAATATTAATGCTTCAGTCCCATTCCCAGAGATTCTGACTTACTGCTCTGAGGTGTGGCATCAAAACCCACTCCAGTATTCTTCCCTGGAGAATCCCATGGACAGAGGAGCCTGGCGGGCTACAGTCCATAGGGTCACAAAGAGTTGGACATCACGGAAGCGACTTAGCATGCATGCATCTGGCATCAAGTCATCAAATTTCCCCAGGTGATTTTGATCACAGCACAGTTTGAGAACCACTGAGGCAGAGATGCATTTCTGGACAACAAAAAGTTTTACAGAAAATCAGATTATTTACACCTTCATGTGAATTACTTTCATCAGCTGTTGCTTTCTCCTAAACACCACCTGTCTCAGGTTATCCAGTTTGAAGCAATGTGTTTTGGGGAAAAAGGAGAGGAGAGGGTTGCCCCAGGCAGATGGAGATCAAAGGCATGGATGGAAGTGTGGCAGCCAGGAGGCTTTGCAGGATTAGAGAGCAACCTGGCATTACTGGATAAAACAGTCCAAGGCGCTACAGCTAACTGTCCTTTTCACTGGATAGGGTCAAAGGTTGCATTTCTACCCCCATACTTTTCTTGGGAAGTTAACTGTTGTCCAAGGCTCCACAGTAGTTGTAGTGTAATTTTCATATAAAAGCTAAACATCTAAATATAAATAACATGTCATCGTTGTTGTTTAGTCACTAAGTGATGTTTGACTCTTTGTGACCCCATGGACCGTAGCCTCCAGGCTCCTCTGTCCATGGGATTCTCCAGGCAAGAATACTGGAGTGGGTTGCCATTCTGTTCTCCAGGGGATCTTCCCAACCCAAGAATCAAACCTGGTCTCCTGCATTGGCAGGCGGATTTATTACCACTGAGCACCCAAGGAAGCCCATAGTAGGAGTAAAAAATGAAGATTTAAGAAACAAGTATAAAATGGAGGTGTATCACTTCTCAAACTCTGAAAGTTCAAGTTCCTATTTCTTAGCAATCATTGTCTCTGGGGTTATTTCTCCTTCTGTCCTATTTTTATTAGCTCTTCCTTGGACTGATAAAATTTAATTTTAATTTCAAGTGTCCAGTAGATCAGGGTTCTTTTCAATTATCTTCTTTTTTCTTGACATGTTTTTCCCCATGTTCTCTTTCCATGCAGTGAGGGATTAGTAAACAGTCTTCAGAGGGGTTGGTGGTGTAATATTCTGAGGCCCATTCACAGAGCAACAGGCTGCTTTGATGAGAGCGGAGTTATACTTTTAGCCAGAATAACTGTCCAGTTCAAGCTACTTCATAGCAAAGTCCACCTGGATCTTTGATACTATTTTGAGAACTTAGCCTTTACTTTTTTAATATAGAAATAATAACGAGAATATTAGTGCCCATGTTCAGTTCAGTCGCTCAGTCGTGTCTGACTCTTCGCGACCCCGTGGACTGAAGCCCACCAGGCTCCTCCGTCCATGGGATTTTCCAGGCAAGAGTACTGGAGTGGGGTGCCATGGCCTTCTCCAGGTAGGGATTTTAGTATCTGCCAAACAGCTCAAGGACATGGCTCAGGATATTACCTGTAACCCTTGAGGAGGAACTAAATTTCCTTTACTTTGCTTTATGGCTAAACTATGATCATTTTGTCTTGATTGACTATTTTTCTTTGTTTCTGCATTTTCTATTTTCTCTTATGAAATTTGCTCTTTAGAATGCAGTAAAGGTCTAGGAAGCTAAAGATTTTCTACAAACAAGAGGCAGGGTGATGGGAAAAGGGGGTCTGTCCCCGGGAAGGTCCCATAGAGTCCTGCTCAGTTTCATCTTTAGAAGATCAAGTATATAAAAATAAGGAGAAGAAAGAAAAACAGCCTTTGGGGTGGTGGGGGGGACCAGGAAGACCTAGTTTGGGTATGAAAAATCTTTCTCAGGGGGTCATTAAGTCTGTGGTGCAAGTCTCTGGTAGATGGAATCAGAGCCGCAAAGACTGGCACCCACTCCTAACAATGGGCCTGTTGAGGGGGAGGGGCCCTGTTATTTGTTCCTTTTCTCTTGGGGAGGAAAGAACCTGGCACACAGCACCTGCTAAATAAATGCTCACTGAACATATAAATGCCCTAGTGGTTATTTCAAAAGTTCCATGAGATTTGTGTGCCTCTGTTAAGAAAAAAAAAAGGAACAAATAACCAAGAACAATCATTCACAATAGCTGAGGGGTAGTGGAATGAGGAAGGGTGTGAATGTCTCTTAAGGGAGATTGTTAATGTCTATCTAGAAAACAGTAGCGTCTTTTCACTGTAATAGAGCCCTTCACATAACCTTTCTTTCTCCCTTCTTGACATTACAGACATGACAATGACGGACTCCAAAACGATGAAAACCTAAGGGTTCAGCAGCAGGCCATGAAGGCGGACATTTCCAGAACAGTTTGAAAGCTACAGTACCTTTTAGTAATAGTCATGAGAAGCTAAAATAGGACTCCTGTACTTCTGTGTCAAGATAGAAGACGGAAAGAGAAAGTTCAGTTATCAAACTAGCCAGAAGTCCCTGGGCTCCAGACTTGAGGATTTTAAATGGTTGCAGTAGGCCTCTCTTACCCCCAGTTTCACTTTTGGTGGTTTCAGTTACCTGTGGTCAACCACTATCTGAAAATATTTAGTAGAAAATTTCAGAAATAAACAATTCATAAGTTTTAAAGTGATGAAATCTCGTGATGTCAACTCTGTCCCCCCAGGACGCAAATTGTCCCTTTGTCTGGTGTGTCCCGCCTGTTAGTCACTTAGTGGCCATAGTTATCAGATCTGCTGTCACGGTTTCACAGTGCTGTGTTCAAGCGACACTTGTTTTACTTAATCCTGGCCCCAAAGTGCCAGAGGAGTGATGCTGGTGATTCAGAAATGCCAGAGAGAAGCCCTAAAGTTTTAGTTTCCTTTAAGTGAAAGGGTGAAAGTTCTCAATATGGAAAGAAAAAAATGAATGCTGAGGTGGCTGAGATCTACGGTAACAACGAATCTTTTATCGGTGAAATTGTGAAGAAAGAAGAAATTCATACTAGTTTTGCTGTCTCACATCAAACTGCAAAAGTTACAGCCTCAGTGCATTAAGTGCTTAGTTAAGATAGAAAAGGCATTAAATTTGTAGTTAGATATTTTGACAGAAAGAGAGACCACATTCACATAACTTTTATTACAGTATAATTTTTCAATTTTATTATTAGTTATTGCTGTTAACCTCTTACTATGCCTAATTTATAAATTAAACTTGATCATAGGTATGTATGTATAGGAAAAACATTATATATGGGGTTAGGTATTATCCTTGGTTTCAGGTATCCATTGGAGGTCTTGGAATGTATCCCTTGCAAATAAGGGCAGAGTACTATAGAAAGCAACAATCTGATACAAGACCATGGTTATAGTTGAGTTGAAATTGATAATAGTTTGAGCATAAGGAAAAAGGCATCAAGTTTTACCTTAGCATCTTTAAAAGTTGTCTCTGTGACACATAGTTAACATATTATTGAATAATGTTGTTTAACTTCAGTTGTATATTTGTGTACATGATGACATAAATCCATTGTTCTGATTTGGATATCAGATGAGAACTGTATCATTTGATTTGAATATGGAACACCTAATGGTGCCCACCACATAATGAGGTCCCCTAGGGAACTTTGGACTGACTGCATGGAAATATCTAGGAGGTTATTAAAAATACAGATTTTCAGGTTGCATTCAGACCTGCTGTACCAGAATCTCTGGGGTAGTTCCTAACGAACCTGTGTTTTCATAAACTCTCCATTTGATTCTCATACATGCTAAAGACTGAAACCATTGGGACATGAAGGCAGGTGTCATCATTTCTATACTTGTTAATAGCATATTTAATTATCATGATAGTGGTGATATTAAGAAAACAACAAATATCCAAAAAGTAATTTTTCATTTCTGCTCAATCTTTACACATAATATACATCCTCTCTATTTTGCAATCAGAAAATGTGCTTCTGCTATAGGCTGGGAGGTGTAATATTAAGAGAAGCATAAACAAAATTACTAACTTGACCTAAATATCAAGGAAATCTTTTGTTTCCTACCTTGTTGTTTTCTAGATAATAGAACAGAGAAAACAGCACACAGAATACCATTAAGAAAAACTAGCTAAATTACAACATCTGTGCTATGCTACTTTCCTTAAAAAGAATGAAAATGTTGGCCAACATTTATACTCATTCTCATCAGATCTTCTCGTTTCTTCTTCAAGGCTTGTCTTTTTCCCGAAGTGGTTCAATGGACGATAGGAGCTGCTGAAATGTGGGACGCTTTTCTGGAAGCTAGATAAAAGAAAAACCCAATGGTTGAGCTTATGAGGGTTCCGATTTAAAATAAACTATGTAAAATATTTGTACCTCAGTCCTAAAACTAGCAATTTTTAAAATGTGGAAATGCATAGACATTTCTTCTAAAGAGAAAACAAATAGAGCCCTAAGAATTGGGAAAGAAAAATAAGAGTATCTTTATTTGCATAAGATATGACTGCATACCTTAAAAACCAAGAGAATTAAAGATAGAACAAACCCAAATAACAAAGGAATTCATCAGGAGAGCAGTATATAAAATTAACTGACAAAATCAGTAGTCTTCTTATATATATACAATAACCAATTAGATATACTGGAAGAGAAAACTCCATTTATAATAGCAACAAACCCCAATAAAATACTAAAAAAAAAGTACCCCCCAAATGAGGAAAACTTTAAAATCCTGCTGAAAAACACAAATGTAAGAATTGAGCACATAGAAAATAACACTGGTTGTCTTTGAATAGGACAGACACATCAATAACATAGAGATGATGAATCTCCCAAGTTAGAATACAAACTCTTCCAAATATGAACAAACTTGTTTTAGGCTGAACAAATTGATTATCTAGTTTGTGGATTTTTAAATATGCAAAATAGCTAAGAAAACTATTCAGAAAGAGACACAACTTAGCAACTAAACCGCCACCAAGAGAAAAGGAAGTAGGTCTGTTTCTGAGTGGGAAAATAAAATGATGACTACAAAAAGTGATAAAGAGTTTTGTGGAAAGTGGACACTGGGAAAAGAGTTTTGTGCATAGCCAAGATTGACTAAGTTTCAAATAAAATTTAACTGTAAATGAATTTAGAAGTAAGCTGGGCTTCTCAGGTGGTGCAGTGGTAAAGAATCCTCCTGCCAATACAGGAGACGCAGAAGACACAATTCGATCCCTGGGTGGGGAGGATTCCCTGGAGAGGGAAATGGTCACCCACTCCAGTATTCTTGCCTGGAAAATTCCATGGACAGAAAGGAGCCTGGCGGGCTACAGTACATGAGTTCACAGAGTCGGACATGACGGAGCAACTCAGCAGAGCATAGCCACAACTAAGACTCGACACAGCCATAAAGAAATATGAACAAAATGGTTGGCACCTACAGTGCTGGTTTCAGATCACAAACACCTGCGAGCAGGGGCCCAGGGCCATCGTCACCTGCTCTGTAGCAAGTGTGCGCATGCTCAGTCCCTTCAGTCCTGTCCAACTCTTTTGTGACTCCATGGACTGTAGCCCGCAGGCTCCTCCGTCCATGGGGTTCTCCAGGCCAGAATACCGGAGTGGGTTGCCTTTTCCTTCTCCAGGGGATCTTCCAGATTCAAGGGTTGAACCACATCTTCTGTGTCTCCAGTTTTGCAGGCCAACTCTTCACCACTGAGCCACCCGCAAAGCCCCTGGAGCAAGCGCCTCCCCTCAGAAGCGCTCCTTCCGGTGGTGACACAACAAGCCGCCGATGCGCCTGCGCCCCTGCCCACTCCCCTGGCCCCGGGGGGCACTCGCCTCATGCCAGCAGCTGTACATGATGTGGTAGACGGTGTCCGACGCCAGCTGGGGCCGGTAGAGCCGGTGGCCCTGGGAGACCTTCACGACCACCTGCGAGTTGTCGTACAAGTCGTAGGGCTGCTTCCCCAGGCTGAACACTTCCCACATCAGGATCCCTGCCCCGCGGCGAGGGCGGCCAGCCGGCAGAGGAAAGAGAGCCCACGTCAGAACGTACAGTTTGTCACGTGAGCTTCACGCCCGCGTCACGAGGGCTCTGGGGCAGAGCCTGGGTCCCTGGGGGAGGAGTCCCCGCAAGAAGGGCAGGGTAGGGAGGATAGACCGGGCTAGCCCTTCTGGAGCCCCAGCTCTCTTATTCCTGCTCCCCGAGGCCCCGACGCCCATTCTCGCTGGGAAACAGGGAGGCGTTCTGGGTCGCTGCAGGGGGAGGTCCCTGGGGCCAGGGCCCCTGGGCTGCTTCAGAGAGGTGGCGGCCCGGTGGAAGCCACAGTGAGAGCCCCAGCTTCAACCCTTAGAGCGAGGCGTGGAAGTCCCCACCCTTTCTCTCTGCCTTGGCAATAATTTCCTGGCACACACACATTACCTTTGGGTGGAAATTTAAGATAAAGTCGTGGACAACTTTCCTGCTTTTCTATTGCCTCAGTCCTCTGGAACAGTGGTTCTCCCCCTTCTTGGCACCAGGGACCCATTTTGTGGAAGACAATTTTTCCCCGGGACCGGAGAGGGGACGGGATGGTTTTGAGATGTTTGAAACGCATTGTATTTATCATGCACTTTATTTCTAAGCTAATGCTGCCACTGATCTGACAGGAGGCACCGGGTCTCTGCCCTGGGGGTTGGGGACCTTTGTTCTAGAATACTTTGTGGATCAGGTGTCCTTTCGAGAATCTACTTAAAACCATTGGCTTCCCCTCAAGACAGTGAATGCACAGAATTTTCTGACTCATTTTCTGGAAGTTCACAGAGTGTTTTCTGGAAGTATCCAGAGTATGGCGGACTCCAGATTAAGGAACCGAGCTCTGGTCATGGTGGGCAAGAGGGTGGCATCTGGGGCCAGTCAGACATGGCTTTTGAGGCACAGGTTTGCCACTTACAGGGTGGGAAAGCTTCTTAGCCCTTCTCAGTTCTGCTTGCCCATCTGTAATATGTGGATATTCGCGTGTCACAAAGTTGTCATGAGGATTGAATAGGATAAAACACTCGGAGCACTTAAAGGACACTGGGGACATTTTAAGCTCTCTAAATGGTGGCCATTGTGCTGTCATACTAGCCACGCCAGGGAATTCCAGCAGTCAACCAACTTCAAAACCTTGGAAAACCAGGAATATGTAAGAAGGGGGAAAATTGTTCTAGAACTATAACTGAAGTACTAACTTCAAAACTTCTTTGACTTTTAGGGCTACAGATTTTATGTAAAATATTTATAGTCAGGCAGTATTACAATTTGTGGGGACTGTGTGTGTGTGTTTTAAACGTTCTAAAAGAACCATCCAAAAATTTGTTGACTCCTTCACAACTCTCCAGAGAAGGCAATGGCACCCCACTCCAGTACTCTTGCCTGGAAAATCCCATGAACAGAGGAGCCTGGTGGGCTGCAGTCCATGGGGTCTCGAAGAGTCGGACACAACTGAGCAACTTCACTTTCACTTTTCACTTTCATGCATTGGAGAAGGAAATGGCAACCCACTCCAGTGTTCTTGCCTGGAGAATCCCAGGGACGGGGGAGCCTGGTGGGCTGCCGTCTATGGGGTCACATCGAGTCGGACACGACTGAAGTGACTTAGCAGTCACAACTCTCTCCTTGGAAGCGGGTCCACTTATCTCAAGAATAATATCGTTGCTTAAAATATTTGTGGGGCTCTTCTTTGAGAATTGCTTTCAGAGGTTCTGGTTTATTTTGAGTATCCTTACTAGGGTCAGATTATTTAAGAATGAATTTAGTTTTTGGAAACAGCCAGAAAATATTTGCAGCCAAATTCTGACACATAAAAGGTAAGCAATTGACCTGGGTAATACAATTTTTGGTC